AAAAAAAAAGAGACTACAATTATATTCCAAACAAATAGGATAACCTATAAGAAATGGATAAATACCTAGAAACATACAACCCACCAAAACTGAATCATGAAGAAATAAGACGTCTGAACAGATGCAAAACTTGTGAGGAGATAGAAGCAGGAATCAACACCTCCCAAAAAAGAAAAGCCAGGACCAGATAATTTCATTGGAGAATTCTACCAAACATGTAAAGAAGAAATAATACCAATCCTTCTGAAACTCTTCTAAAGGATGAAAGAAGAGGGCACACTTCCAAACTTATTCTATGAGGCCAACATTACCCTGATACTATTACCAGGAAAACATGCTACAAGAAAATGAAACTACAGACCAATATCCTCAATGAATATTGATATAAAAATCCTACACAAAATATTACCAAACCAAATTCAACTAAAATGATCATGCACCATGACCAAATGAGACTTATCCCTGGGATGAAAGGATATATACAAAAATCAATCAATGTAATGTAATAAATAAACAATGGACAAAAACTACATGATCACCTCAATTGAAGCAAAAAAGCATTTGGCACAATTCAATACCTTTTTCATGATAAAAACACTCAGTAACCTAGGAAGAGAAGGAAATGACCTCAACATAGTAAAAGCCAAATATGAAAAGCCTACAGCTAATACTATACTCAATAGGGAAAGATTGAAAGCTTTTCCTCTAAGATCAGGAACAAAGCAAGGATGTCCACTCCCAGCACTACTATTGCTGGAAGTTTTTGCCAGAGCAATTAAATAAGAAAAAGAAATAAAAGGCATACGAGCTGGAAAAGAGGAGGCACAATTATCCTGGTTCATATACGACATAATATTTTAGGTAAAAAACCCTAAAGATTCCACACAAAAAAGTTAGAATTAGTAAACTAATTCAGCAAAGTTGCAGGATATCGTATTAACAAGCAAAAATCAGTTGCACTTTTATACACTAACAATGACCAATCCGAAAAGGAAATTAGGAAAACAATCCCATTTACAACAGCATCAAAAAAGGATAAATATACTTAAGAACACACTTAACCAAAGTATTGCGTTGTTGGAAAAGTCACGACACATTTTTGCAACAAAAAAAAGAAAAAATACGTCATGACTTTTCCGACAACCCAATAGTTAAAGACGTCTACATTGAAAGCTTTATCATAACAAAATAAAATTAAATTAAAAAATAATACCTTGAGACAATGATAAAATATTGGTAGTAAAAAACACATCTGATGATGGAGTGCCCTCAAAAACACACACAAAAAAACTGTTAAAACTCAATAATAAAATGAACAATCTGATTAAAAAATTGGGCAAAAGACCTGAATAGTTATCTCACCACACAGATGATAAGCAAGCATACGAAAAGATGTTAAACACCATATGTCATTAGAGAATTACAAATTAAAACAATGAGATACCACTACACACCTATTAGAATTGCCCAAATCCGCAACACTAACAACAAATGCTGATGTAGAGTAACAGGAACTCTCATTCACTGCTGGTGGGAAAGTAAAATGGTACGGCCACTTTGAAAATAGTTTGGCAGTTTCTTACAACATTAAACATGCTCTTATCATACAATCCAGTAATCATGCTCCTCGGTACTTATCCAAAAGAAATGAAATCTTATAACAACACAAAAACCTGCACAGGGGTGTTTATAGCAGTTTTATTCATAATTGCCAAAACTTGGAAGCAAATAAGATGCCCTTTCAGTAGGTGAATGGATGAATAAACTGGTACATATAGACAATGCAGTATTATTCAGCACTAAAAAGAAATGAGCTCTCAAGTCATGGAAAGACATGAAGGAAATGTAAATGCATATTACTAAGCAAAGAAGTCAACATGAAAAGGCTACATACTGTATGATTCTAACTATATGACATATGGAAAAGGCAAAACTACGGAGTCAGTAAACAGATCAATGGTGGGCCCAGGTTGGATGGAGAAAGGGAGGGATGATTAGGCAGAGCACATAGGTTATTTAGGGCAGTGTAACAATTTTGTGTGATAATTTAATCATTTATACATTTCTTCAGGTACACAGAATGTACAACACCAAGAATGAACCCTAATGTAAACCATGAACTTTGGATGATAATGATGTATGTCAATGTAGGTTCACTGATTCTACCAAATGTCGCACTCTGCTGGGGGATACTGGCAGCAAGGAAGGTTGTACCTGTGTGGGGAAAGGGGGTATATGTTAACACTGTACTGTCTGCTCAATTTTGCTGTGAACCAAAGACTTTTCTAAAAAGTAAAGTTTATTATTAATTAAAATAAAATCTGTTGGGAACCACAAATATTATTTGATGTGGAAAAGTCTAAAATCTTACTGACAGGAATCTTATTAGGCAATAATAACGATTACCACATGTCTTGCTAGGGAGACCACATCATGGAGGGGGTAGAGGCTTGATCACTGCAGTGTACACCTGAAGCTGATGCTGTATAATATTGTATGTAAACAATAAGTGAATATATATATATATATATATAGAGAGAGAGAGAGAGAGAGTCATGGGACGTGGCGTATAGTGTGGGAGTGGAGTCAAAGGAATTGTAGTAGAGATGTATGATATTGGGGGGAAGTGTGGCGGCGATTT